TCGATAGAAGCCAACAGTGAAAAGGCTCAGCAGTAGCATTAATGCGGCGCAAGAGGCGGTATGGCGCAGCACTTCGGCGTTGGGGTTGTCACTTTTTTGTGTAGATTAGTAAACTTAATACCGACCTTGCGAACCAACAGAGAGTGTTGGAATCGGAGGAGAGAGAGTTCCAGAAGAGCTCACAGACCCATCACCCGTTCAGCTTTGAGATATCGGATTCGGCGGCCGCACCGGTGGACTTGGATGAGGGCGCCTCCTTCTTGCAGACGGGCGAGGTGAAGGAGACGCTCACTCCTGACGTTCTCCAGGAGTGGTATTCCAAGTAAGAATGAAGCAGTAAATTTTGTGGCGCGTGAAATGCTGTTGGATTTTTCCAGGTTCGAGGATTCCCTTAACAAAGTGCGTATTGATGCTGGCCTTTCTGAGCTACCCAAGAGCTCTTTCTTGCAGAGAGGACTGAACTTCATGAGCATGGCGGTGAGGGTTACCTCTTCGATGGACGGGGGAAGGCTTAGATTGACTTAGATCAGGAACCCATCTAGCGTTGAGAGATAGCATCCCTCAGGGTCTGGGGGAAATGTTACTAATGTGATGATGACATTCACATGGGAAATTGTTCGAAGGATGTGTTTCTAGTCATGTGTGGAAAATTCAAAATGAGTTCCCCCTCGGGAACATTATAGGTTTCTGGATGGTTTCCTGACTCAGACTAATGAGAAGCTGAAGAAGGACGAGCGCGACGTTGAGCATATGCAGCATGAATTTGACGATACTTTGGGCAAGCTCAAGCACGACAGCGCTGATATCATGTCCTTTTCTCGAGAGGAGGTGACATTCGAGAGGTCCCGGGTTCGAATCTAGGCGACGGGATTTTCTTCAGACTGATGCTGCTAAAGACCTTCAAGCCAAGTTGGATGCGAGCGTTGGGACGGAGAGTCTCCTCCAGACGGGCGCCGGTGCTCTCCACTACGATCCTGAGAAGGAGACGGAGGCTCTGAAGGACATCGAGAGGAAATGGGCAGC